GGGGGGGGGGTCAGAGTTGCCAGACACTGTTCTTTTATTGCTGAATAACTGCACAGAGGGGGAAGATAAGTGTCAATTTGTTGTGCTTTCCTACTATGTTGTAGTATTGGAGTATTTGTGAATTTAGGATATTTTGTTCTGAGCTTTTTAACTGGCATATGTATGCGTTACTAGGGAATTCAATTACTTCTCGACTGTGATTTCATTGATCAATGGAGCAGTTATAATGTTATTGCCCTTTCAGAAATGGGAAGTTCCCTATCTACTCTAGTTCAACTTCGTTGAGTTTGCATTACATGAATCTTGTCGTTGGCAGTTCAGTAGCATCCTATTCTGGCTTATGCTAAATTCAACAGTTAATGCCAACAGTATTGGTTAAGAAACACTACATCTTAATTTCCTTATGTTGCTGGATTCAGCATCTTCTTAATTGGCCAACACTTCCTTATTTGTGACATTATTGTGCGGTTTATCTTCTTTTTATGTAATAGATGTACCTTTCATCTAGGCATATTTGCTCAGCTTCGAACATCTTCAATTGCAATCATCATTAAAAGCTATCATGCTTGATCCGAACATACATGACAAACGTTTCACTCGCTAATCATGTTGGATTACGTGTTGTGTGGTTTTCCTATACCTCCATAACTCATATCCTTGATGGCGTTTATTTTTGCATCCTATTCAGTTTATAGTTGACTAAAGCAGTGACCAGCAAGTTTTAAAATAATAGCATATCACGCTATCAGTTAATTGGTTTTACTGTTCCATTTCTGCTTATTTTGGCTGACAAAGATATCCAGAAACTTCTGCACCTTCTGAATGATGTCCATTTACCTGTCATACTAGTCTATTTGAATTACTCGACACTTGCTACTTGTTGGAAACTGGTCTTTGATTATTGGCATCATTCCTAAGAGACATTCTTTGAGGTGAAACGTATTGAAATTCGACCATCTCTCTGGTACGAAATACAAACTGCTTCATGCCTATCTAATTTCAGTTAGTATTTTTTTTCCTATGCTGCACTGCTGGTAGCCTATACCACATACTATGAGTGGCACTGATCATGTTGTGAGAATAATGCCTGAAAGTAATGTCTGCAATATGAAAATATCAACAAATTTGAAGTATCAGTTTTCATATAGCTTCTTGAAAATGTTAGAACAGGGATGTCATGAAACTGTCATGAGAATTTATGTGCTATAGTTGAGTGCTTTTACAATTCCTTGTTCTGATGTTGTTAGTACTCGTGGACCACATATACAGTTATGCCCTTGAACTGTGATCTCAAGCATATTGTTCATGCTGAATTCATGGTTCCTAATTGGAATACTGTACCACTCCCTCCGTTCCAAAATAAGTGTCTTAACCTTAGTGTACAACTTTGTACTAAAGTTAGTACAAAGTTGAGACACTTATTTTGGGAGGAGGGAGTATTATTTTCACTCATTTATTTTGCTGTGATTTGTACTTCATAAATACCTGGGCATCCTAACCTAGCCATTTTGTGCTTGCTCCATGATGTGACCTGACCATTTTGTGCATTTTTCTGCCCTGATCTCCACTTGATACAAATTTATCCTAACTTTCTTGTTAGCTTATCTGCTAAGTTATGAAGGCCTATATAGCATGATGTGACCTGACCATTTTGTGCATTTTTCTGCCCTGATCTCCACTTGATACAAATTTATCCTAACTTTCTTGTTAGCGTATCTGCTAAGTTATGAAGGCCTATATAGCATGTAATTTGCATATAATTCTGGAATTACAATTGGTCACCTGAAAAATGGCTCCACCTCAGTTTGTTTGCTGATCTCATCTCATCAAGTTCTCGACCTATTAATCAGTCTTATTACCCTGCAACCCTATATAGCTAAAAAGTTGCATGTTCTGGAAGAAGTTTCATGGCCCATCTGCTTGTTTCGTGTATCAAGTGATTTTGCATTCTGGAACTAACAATAGCGAAGAAACAGTTGTTGATGCCCTGTTGATGCGATGAGATCAGCAAACAAAATTTTAAGTATGCACACCAGTTAAGTTGTTAGTTCCAGATTGTAATTTGTTTGCTGATATGCGTAAATTTGTTGATGCCCTGTTGATTAGATGGGATCAGCAAACAACTTTTCCCCCACTATTGTTAGTAACAATAGCGAGAAGTATTTAACCGTTAATTGTTGACGCCCTGTTGTCTTACTTAAAATCCAGTTTGCATGTAGGAGCAGGACCAGCAACCTGCATCCCCCTTGGCACCATCTAATGAGAATCTACCAATGATAGTAGGGATGTAAGTGGACGCATCCACTTTAC